ACTTCATATGGAACCAAAAGAGAGCCCGCATAGCCAAGTCAATTCTAAGCAAAAAGAACACAGCGGGGGGCATCAGCCTACCGGATTTCAAACTATAGTACAAGGCTGCAGTAATCAAAACAGCATGGTACTGGTACCAAAACAGAGATAAAGACCAATGGAACAGAACAGAGGCATCGGAGGCAACACAACATATCTACAACCATACAATCTTTGATAAACCTGACAAAAACAAGCAATAGGGAAAGGATTCCCTGTTCAACAAATGGTGTTGGGAAAACTGGCTAGCCATGTGCAGAAAGCAGAAACTGGACCCCTTCCTGACACCTTACACCAAAATTAACTCCAGATGGATTAAAGACTTAAACATAAGACCTGGCACCATAAAAACCCTAGAGGAAAATCTAGGCAAAACCATCCAAGACATAGGAGTAGGCAAGGACTTCATGAACAAAACACCGAAAGCATTGGCAACAAAAGCCAAAATAGACAAATGGGACCTAATCAAACTCCACAGCTTCTGCACGGCAAAAGAAACAGTCACTAGAGTGAATCGGCAACCAACAGAATGGGAAAAAAATTTTTCAGTTTACCCATCTGACAAAGGGCTGATACCCAGAATTTACAAAGAACTCAAACAGATTTACAGGAAAAAAACAAACAAGCTCATTCAAAATTGGGCAAAGGATATGAACAGACACTTTACGAAAGAAGACATATATGAGGCCAACAATCATATGAAAAAATGCTCATCGTCACTGGTCATCAGAGAGATGCAAATCAAAACCACATTGAGATACCATCTCACGCTAGTTAGAATGGCGATCATTAAAAAATCTGGAGACAACAGATGCTGAAGAGGATGTGGAGAAAAAGGAACACTTCTACACTTTTGGTGGGAGTGTAAATTAGTTCAACCATTGTGGAAGACAGTGTGGCGATTCCTCAAGGCCTTAGAAATAGAAATTCCATTTGACCCAGGAATCCCATTACTGGGTATATATCCAAAAGACTATAAATCGTTCTACTATAAGGACACATGCACACGAATGTTCATTGCAGCACTGTTTACAATAGCAAAGACCTGGAATCAACCCAAATGCCCATTGATGATAGACTGGATTGGGAAAATGTGGCACATATACACCATGGAATATTATGCAGCAATCAGAAACGATGAGTTCGTGTGGTTTGTAGGGACATGGATGAATCTGGAGAACATCATTCTCAGCAAACTGACACAAGAACAGAAAATGAAACACTGCATATTCTCACTTATAGGCGGGTGATGAAAAATGAGAACACATGGACACAGGGAGGGGAGTACTAATCACTGGGGTCTATTGGGGGGAAAAGGGGAGGGCCAGCAGGAGGGGGAGGTGGGGAGGGATAGCCTGGGGAGAAATGCCAAATGTGGGTGAAGGGGAGAAAGGAAGCAAAACACACTGCCATGTGTGTACCTATGCAACTGTCTTGCATGTTCTGCACATGTACCCCCAAACCTAAAATGCAATAAAAATTTTAAAAAAATAAAAATAAAAATAAAAAAAGAAGTAAAATTGCAAGGGGTTGATGATTTAGCACGAACTTCCTTTCTTGGGGCATACTGTGTCCTTTAAAAGTACAGGTTGAGTAACCTTTCTTCAAAATGCTTGAGACCATAAGTGTTTGAAATTTCAGATTATTTTTGGATTTTGAAGTGCTTATATTATATTTGCTTAGCAGTTGAGCATCCCTAACCTGAAAATCTGAAACCCAATTTGCTCCAGTGAACATTTCCTTTGAATATTGTGAGCGCTCAAAAAGTAAATTTTTTAATAATTTATATTTATTCTTTGTTTTGGCCAGGCACAGTGGGTGGATCATCTGAGGTCAGGAGTTCCAGTAAAAGCAGCTTGGCCAATGTGGTGAAACCCTGTCTCTACTTAAAATAAAAAAATTAGCTGGGTGTGGTGCCCTGTAATCCCAGCTCCTCAGGAGGCTGAGGCAGAGGTTGCAGTGAGCTGAGATTGCATCACTGTATTCTAGCCTGGGTGACAGAGCCAGACTCACCACATTAGCCAGGCTGGTCTCGCTCCACGTCCTGTCTTCAGGTGATCCACCTGCAACCTCAGTGTCCTTAAGTGCTGGGATTACAGGCGTGAGCCACTGCTCCTGGCCTCTCCTACAACTTTCTGAGAAGACACTTAAAATCCATTTCGGTGCTGAAATTCATTAGTGGTGATAAAAGCTACAAAGATTTTGGGAAGGCACTCCTCTGGTTGCTATTGATTTCATAGAGATAGGTTGTTCATATAAAAAGATCAAGAGAAGGATATTTCTGGCTTCTACTGAAATATGAAGATTATGAAATTTTAACTTGAGCCCTTATAATTATCACAGATCTTATGAAATGTATTCTATTTATATAGTATCTGTTTAGGTCGGTAAAATAAAACTGAGAATTCTTTCTCTGGTAAAATATTTAAATTAGGAGTAAACAATTCTATAAAGAATCATAAAAGTACAGATATTAGTCCAATAAACTCTCAACCATAGTTACTGTTTAAGGTAATGTAGACTAAGGAGTAGGTGCGGTTAGTGAGCATGATTCAAATCAATCTTAATGACTGAGAATCTTGATTATATAAATTGATTAAATTGGGTCATAAATGAAAATTGCATAGAACATTACATACTGCTGTGACCAGAATATACCTTGGAATATGCTTCTCAGAAAATTCCCTGATTTTGTTTTGGTCTTCTTTTTTTTAAAGACAGGGTCTTGCTCTGTCACCCAGGCTGGAGTACAGTGGCATAATCACAGTTCACTGCAACCTTGAACTCCAGGGCTCAGGAATTCCTCCCACCTTAGCCTCTTGAGTACCTAGGACTACAGGTGTGCTTAAAAAAAAGTGTTTTTTGGAGAGATGATGTTTATATATTGCTCAGGCTGGTTTCAGACTCTTGGCTTCAAGTGATCCTCCTGCCTTGGCCAAAGTGCTAGGATTATAGGCATGAGCCACAGCACCCAGCCTTTGTATTAGTCTATTGGTTTGAATGTTTACTGGCCCTATATCATAGCAATCTTTCTAGAAAAGTGCTAGATCAGAATGGACATATTCCACTTTTTCCCCCTTGAGAAAATTCTGCTTATCTAAGTGTCCTTTATTATTTTTAGCACCATTCCAAAGGGCTACCATTTCTTTGTAATGTGGTATGTCAGTCTATTCAGTAGCCTCCACCTCCCTTGAAAAATGTCGCTTGTATTAAATTTGTAATGTGGCATTAAGGCAGAGAACTTTCTACCATGTCTCACTTTCAAGTGTGATCTGTAAAGGACTTAAACCACAGCCTACACTGTTTCTAGATGATTATTCTGAAGAGGAGTAAATGTATGCTTTTCAAAAACAGTGTCTAATATAAAATATTTTTTAAAAATTACCATGATTATAAGTGAGTACTGGCTTGCTCTGCCTTGCTTTGTCTTCTAACTCAAATTAAGATGACTTTTGAGGTAGATGGTAGTCAGATGTGTCAGTGATGATTTCCTGGGCACTCTGTTGTACATGCTGTTCCTAGGGGCTGTGTTTTTGGTTAACTAATATCCATGGAATTCCCAGGTATCCCTCCTTTAAAAAATTTTTGCCAGCAGTGTTAGCCACAGGGAATACCAGTTGTTTCCAGGATTAGCAAACCCAGGTCCTTTGAGTCGCAGCCTTGGTCCTAGTTTTATCAATTATTTTTCCCTTAGAAAGCCATATAGAAGTTAATTTCTCGTATTCTGAGCAGATTTTACTTTTATCATTGTTTTATTGCTTTGTTTTCTGCACCCTCTGTTCTCGTTTGGGTGGAGTAAAATAGTAAAAGTAATAATGGCTTAATTCATTTGTTATCTTTCTCTTTTCTTTATTTTTTTGAAATCAGGTCTTGCTCTGTTGCCCAGGCTGAAGTGCAGTGGCATGATCTCAGCTCACTGCAACCTCTGTCTCCCAGGTTCAAGCGATTCTCCTTCCTTAGCCTCCGAGTAGCTGGGATTACAGGCATGTACCACCATGCCTGGCTAATTTTTGTATTTTTAGTAGAGATGGGGTTTCACCATGTTGGCCAGGCTGGTCTCAAACTCTTGACCTCAAGTGATCTGCCCACCTTGGCCTCCCAAAGTGTTGGGATTACAGGCATGAGTCACTGCACCCAGCTATCTTTCTTAAAATGAATGATTCAAGAAAGTGAACCAAGTGTAACTTAATGTGTTTTATGCTGCTGTATAAGTCATAATGTATTTATGCTCCTCTATCAACTAAATAATTATCATACTTAAATTGTGATTTTCATGTGAAAACAGTATTCAAATGTTTTTGGTAAACTCTTTCCATCTAATGAATGACTTAGGCCTGGCGCAGTGGCTCACGTTTGTAATTCCAGCACTTTGGGAGGTTGAGGCAAGCAGATCACTAGAAGTCAGAAGTTCCAAACAAACCTGGCCAACATGGTGAAACTCCATCTCTAATGAAAATACAAAAATTAGTTGGGCACGGTAGCATGCACCTGTAGTCCCAGCTATTTGGGAGGCTGAGGTGGGAGGATCACTTGAACCCAGGAGGCAGAGGTTGCAGTGAGCCAACCAGTGAACTCCATCCTGAGTCACAGAGTGAGACTTGTCTCAAAAAAAAAAAGATCTAAAACATATTAGTGTATCATGTTGCTAATCATACTTCCTCCCATTAATGAAGCCTTTTATTCTCAGACACTTGTTACATAAATTCAATTGTAAGTCTTTATGTCTTTTCCTTACTCTGTAAACGCATTCCTATTAAGACTCGTGAAAATTCTATCACATTTGGTCCACTTACCCCTCACATCCCAGTTACTAGCTTATAATTTTTGTTTTTGAAGTTCTGCTTGGCCTACTTACCTACACTTTTAGGTGACTTTCCCTCCATTTTCTGGCTTTTTTTTTTTTTTTTTTTTGAGTCATTGGCAATTTCTTCACTGATTTCCTTTTTCCTCCTTCTTAACAGAAATTTCCATGCAGTATCGTCATGATGGAGCTTGTCCAACAACTAGTAAGTTGTCAGACTGGGTTCATAACCCAGGCTTTTTGACTCCTATTCTAGTGCTCTTTCTAGTATGTTATGCCACCTCTGAACCTCTAAATTTTAATTTTTCCAAGTGCAAGCTTTTCTTAATTGAATAGATATTTTTCTCCTGCAAAGATAACATTCTGCTTTGTCTTATTGTGGATCCATATTACAGTCAAATTATGGACGAATTTTAATTATTGTTGGTCTTTTAATTTGGTGCTGCCATTGCAGAATTGTGACTTCTCCTTGTTGAAATAATGTTTTTTTTGTTTTTTTTTAGCATTTTGTTTTCTATTCTTAATATAATTTTCCAATATTTGTATATTTGCACCAGGTGGCTTTCTAGATTAGTTCTCTACATGTGTTAAGGCTTTCTTATACTGAACCTGAGGAAATTAGAATATTTGATAGGGTTAGATGATATAATGAAGTTTTTCTTTATAACAAATATTGTTAAGTATGCACTACGGCAAATTTACCTATATAGAATTGCATCCTATAGTGACTCACTTTTAGCAAGACATTACAGTGACATAATTGTCTTTTAAAAAGTGATTTGAAATATATATTTATTACTAAGGAAATTGTCATGACAGTATATCTAACATATTATCTCAGTTTAGTTGGTAATATGTTAGCAAGTGGAATACAATATTTAAAAGTTTATATGGTGTAAAAACAGAGCCAAGCTTGCAGTTTTAATGATTCAAACAATGATACATGATAGACATACTGAAATTTTATTATACTAATTCAGTCTATGCCTATGTATTTCTTTTGTGTGTTTGAGAATGATCTTAACCTGAAGTCCTTTTTTCCTTACTTAAAAGCGTTCTCAGAGTTGCTGAATGCAATACACAATGGTAAGTTTTATTAGAATCTTCTCTAGTGGTTCGTTTATCACAAAGGTTGCATTTTGTAGAGAATCTCAATTGAAAGCTAGCATGTTCTGTTGATTAGATGAAATCCAGTGCTGCAGTGAGTCAATTGTTGAGCACCTTAGTGAAAAATTTTTGTAGTTTGCCAATAAGAGGATGATAGGTCAATATGGTTCATAAGTTTGGCTTTGTTGTTTCTTTTTAAGGCAAAATGATAATAGTGTTTTAAGTTTCTGAAAGTCTTTTTACTTTTATAAATAGTTTTTCTGGTTCTTTTGAGCTTTCTCTTACTTGTGCAGGTAATAATTGGTACCTACCTGAAGAATTTGCTTGGAATATGAGTTTTATTTTTTTAGAATTTGGGTTTGTTAATATGTAGAATACTTTTATTATTTTACCCCTGTATTCCATATAATGAATAAAATGGAAGATAGGCTTTTAAATTACATCCAGTTTGGGACCAGGTTGTTTTAGTTTGTTTTTATTTTTTTGGAGATGAAGTCTCGCTCTGTCACCCAGGCTGGAGTGCAGTGGTGCAATCTCAGCTCACTGCAACCTCCACCTCCCAGGTTCAAGCAATTCTCCTTCCTCAGCCTCCCAAGTAGCTGGGATTACAGGCATGCACCACCGCATCCGACTAATTTTTTGTGTCTTTAGTAGAGACGGGGTTTCACCATGCTGGGCAAGTTGGTCTTGAACTCCTGACTTTGTGATCCACCCACCTCAGCCTCCCAAAATGCTGGGATTAACAGGCGTGAGCCACTGCGCCCTGCTGGGTCCAGGCTTTTTACAGTGGAGTTGTATTTTTTGCTGCATTGGGTTGTGAAATCACCATATAAAGCAAATACTATCATTTTTTACTTTTGCAACGTAATTATAATGAAGATTATTCTTGCAAAAAATGTTTGAGGCTTTCTTCAGTTTCCCCCAAGAACCTTCCTTATTCCTTTGATGTTCAAAAATTCTTATTTTGAGGCTAGTGTCAACTTTGTTGATTTTCAGTTACTAACTGATCTCTTTTGTTCAAGACTGTTTATGTGATTCCAGGCAGATTTTAATTAACTTCATGAAATCTTGCATATTTTGCTAATACAGTGTAATTAGCAGTTTTGTTTGGATTTTATTGTCAGATGTGTACAGTAGCTGTACACGTTAGCCAACAAGAGACTAATGGCATAGTGAGTAGGCATAGACACTACTGTTGCTTTTAGAGGGTGGGTTGTTAGGGTGGGAAGCTTATTCTATAAGTTACTATTTTATTCATTAGTAGATTTATAATTCTTGCCTCTCTATGCAACCTGTGCCTGCAGAAGCTTAGATAATGAATACTCTGGATAACAAGGAGTCCCTCAATACAGGGAATCTACAGGGAAAAGGGATTGGCAGCATCCTTGAAAATAAAATAAACATGTTACTGTTCTTTGGTAGAGCATTATAAAAGCTGACGATGCATCTTCAGTTTGCGTAGGTAAATTTAGAATTGTTCTTTAATTCTTCAATCCTAAACATCTTTAGAAAGTATATTTAGGATTAAAAGAAAGTAGACATCCTGGGGAGCAATGTAACGGATTTATATTTTTCATTGAAAGTACAGGTGTAGGATTGACACCTAGTGAATGATGTTCAGCCTGTGGGCAATTCGGGGAGAGTCTCAGACTTCATTGGAAAAATTGTTACTGTGTTTTCTCTGCTAGCTTTTCTTTCTCTTTATTTTTCTTTAAAGAGAGAAACAGAGAGAGAGAGAAAGTGTCTGTGCGTGTGTGTGTGTGTCTGTGTGTGTGTGTGTGTGTTTGTGTGAGTGAGAGAGAGAGAGAGAATTTGAGTTTCACTCTTGTTGCCCAAGTTGGAGTGTAATGGCATGATATTGGCTCACTGTGTGTGTGTGTGTCTGAGATGTTTTGCTCACTGTGTGAGTGCGTGTACGTGTGTGTGTGTGTGTGTGTGTGTGTTTGAGATGGAGTTTCACTCTTGCTGCCCATCCTGGAGTGTAATGGTGTGATAATTGGCTCACCGCAACCTCCATCTCCCGTGTTCAGGTGATTCTCTTGCCTCAGCCTCCCAAGTAGCTGGAATTAAAGGCATATGCCACCATGCCTGGCTTATTTTTTATTTTATTTTATTTTATTTTATTTTATTTTATTTTATTTTATGTAGAGATGGAGTTTCTCCATGTTGGTCAGGCTGGTTTTGAATTCCTGATCTCAGGTGATCCACCCACCTTGGCCTCCCAAAGTGCTGGGATTACAGGTGTGAGCCACCGCTCCCAGCCTGTTTGTTTTTTGAGACAGTGTCTTGCTCTGTCTCCCAAGCTGGGGTACAGTGGTGTGATCATAGCTTGCTGCAATTTTGAACTCTCAGGCTCAATTGTTCCATCTCAGCCTCCCAAAGGAGGCTGTGATAATAAGCATGAGCCACCATCCCTGGCCAAGTGTTAACATAACACATAATCTTACGTTTTGTAGGGGTGTTCAGTAAATTCACCTTGTTGTACCCCCAGTTTGGAGAACTTTTTCATCTTGTAAAACTGAAACTCTGTTGCCACAGAATGATGGGTACTTGGTAGCCATTAAACAACACTTCACATTTCCTCCATCTCCAAATTCTGGTACAACTCTGAGCACACATCCTAGTCTTGTTCCTTATTTTATTAAGGAGCCTTTCAGTCTTTTACTATTACGTATGATGTTAGCTATGGGTTTTCCATGGATTTCTTTCATCAGGTTGAGGACTTTTGATTACCGACTCGATCTTTTTGCCTTAGGTTTATTCAGATTTTCTGTTTGTCCTTGTGTCAGTTTTTGTAGTAGTATGTTTATCAGATTTTGCCCATTTCATCTGCTCTAATTAGTTGGCATACTGTTATTGATAGTATTAGCTTATCGTTTTTATTTTGGAAAGGTTGGTGGTAATAACTCCTTTTTATCTGATTTTAGTCATATGAGTCTTTTATTTTTTTCTTCATCAGTATAGCAGAAAGTTTGTCAGTTTTGTTCAGTTGTTTCAAAGAACCGATTTCTGACTTAGCTTATTTTCTGTGTCATTTTTTTATTCTCTATTTTGTTTATCTCTGCTCTGATGTTTATTGTTTTCTTGCTTCTGGTTGCTTGGGGCTTAGTTGACTCGTTTCTAGTTTTGTCTTTTTCTTCCCTTCCCTTTTCCCTCTTCCTGTTTCCCTTTCTGTCATTCAGGCTGCAGTGCAGTGGTGCCATTTCAGCTCACTACAACTTCTGCCTCCTGGGTTCAAGTGATTCTTGTGCTTCAAACTGGCTATTTTTTTTTTTTTTTCCTGTTTTGTATTTTTATTAGAGGCAGGGTTTCACCATATTGGCCAGGCTGGTCTTGAATTCCTGACTTCAAGTGATCTTCCCACGTTGGACTCCCAAAGTGCTGGGATTACAGGTGTGAGCCACTGTGCCCAGCCATACTCTTTTCTAGTTACTTAAAATGGATGGTTGGATTATTGATTGAACTCTTTTATCTTTATGAATGTAGTCCTTTACAGCTATACATTTTTAGTTTTTTTCCTCTTTATATTTTCAGAAGCAGGATCTTGCTTTCTTACCAGACTGTCATGCAGTGGCCTGATCATAGGTCATTTCAACCTTCAACTCCTGGACACACGGATCCTCCTACCTCAGCCCCCTGAGTAGATAGGACTATAGGCATGTGCCAGCATGCCTGGCTAATACATTTCTTTCTGAGATTATGTCCGTCTTTTATGATTTATTTGATTAGTCCTTGATTGTTTTTCTCACAATATTTTCTCCTTGACTCTTTTACTTTTTGTCCTACACTGTTGCTGAGGCTGTAGTGCAGTGGTGTGATCTCATCTCACTGCGGCCTCTGCCTCCTGGGTTCAAGCAATTCTCCTCCCTCAGCCTCCCAAATAGTTGGGAATATAGGCATGAGCCCACGCCCAGCTAACGTTTTTTTGTATTTTTTTTTTTAGTAGAGACAGAGTTTCACCATGTTGGCTAGGATAGTCTCGATCTCCTGACCTCGTTATCCAACAGCCTTGGCCTCCCAAAGTGCTGGGATTACAGGTGTGAGCCACTGTGCCCAGCCCCAATTCTCTGATTCTTTAACATATATTTCAAATGTTCTGGATCAGTTCAGAGGGAACATGTGTATTCCAAACTACAGAATGAAATCTGTTACTCTTAACCACTTGAGGTACGCATCTTTGCTAATTTCCCTCCCCTAAAAACTTCAGTTTTAACATGCTGATAAAGCTAATTTTATAGGCTGTGAGTAGCTTCAATATGGCACTTCCTTCTTGAGTCTGTCTTACTGGTTTTTTATTTATTTTTTTTGAGACAGAGTCTTGCTGTCTCGCCAGACTGAAGTGCAGTGGTGCAGTCTTGGCTCACTGCAACCTCTGTCTCCTGAGTTCAGATAATCCTTTATGTCCTGGTTAGTTGCTTTGGGGAAATAAGTATACTGCAAATGATAAATATGCTTCACATGAGTCTTCCCTTTGAGAAGATACATTCTAAAAGGAAAAGAAATACGTACATATGTATGTATGTATACATATGTATGTAATAATTTCAAGGGATGTACTTATAACTTTTAGAAGATACATTCTAAAAGGAAAAGAAATACGTACATATGTATGTATGTATACATATGTATGTAATAATTTCAAGGGATGTACTTATAACTTTTAGAAGATACATTCTAAAAGGAAAAGAAATACGTACATATGTATGTATGTATACATATGTATGTAATAATTTCAGGGGATGTACTTATAACTTCTTTAATTCAGTAGGAGTTCAAGGCCCGGGAAAATTGCTTTCAGCTGAGGGAATGAGATATCCAGATAATGTAACATTTGACCTGATGCTTAAAGAATGTGTAAAATTTAGTTATTTGGAGATACAGGGATCAGAGCTAGAATCTTAGTCTGAGGTATGTACAGTTAGCATGAACGGTGGCACAGAATGAGAATATATAGGCTGTGTAAAGTAATATATATGTGTATATATATATGATATGTGTGGGTGTTTTATATATATGTGTATATATATACACACACACATACATGTTATATATATGTGTATATATATATATTTTAAGGCATGTTTTACCTCCAAGATACTGATATTTTATATGAAAAATAACAACATTAGCTATTGTCCAAGGAGCTGAAAGCAGTTGGTGTTGAGTTGGGGAAAAAAGATGATCAAACCTGTTCTTGAGGCTGTTTCAGCTGGTGGTAGCATATAAAAATATTGAAAAGAGCTAATGCTGAAACAGAGTAACCCAAGAGTTTTTTTAAATAATCTAGCCAAATTTGTTGATGGCCTGAATCAGGATCTGGGAAGTCAAACTGATGTGTATTACCCAAGAAAACTTGGGTAATACATGTGTATTACCCAAGAAAACTGCTAATGACAGTAGCTGGGGAGGAGGAGTGTTCATTTACTAACACGATATTTAGGTAGAGATGTTTAGCACAGAAACGAATAGAGTTTGGGCACCAAAGAGAATTGAAACTAGGCCACTTAGGGGGTGCTGACTGAAACTCTGAGACTGGTATAGGCTGAGAAATGTGGATAGAGAACACAGAGGTTCAATCAGGTTTATTTTAAAATAGGGAAGTCTTATTATGTAGAAAGGAGATAAAGGTTTAAGATATAAGGAGTGATATTTGATAGTTCAGGAATCTGGAGCAGATGAGAAAAGATGAAGTGAGCATGTAGAAAAATTTAAGTTTGAAGAAGACAGGGAATCACTGTGGAAACACTCATTGTCAGAGGAACTGCCACCAAACCAAATTAGTTTTCTAAAACCTTCTTAATTTAAATTAACGAATTTAAAAATTAGTAGACATTTAAAAAATAGATTCTCCCATGGCCAAGCGTAGTGGCTCACGCCTATAATCCAAGCACTTCGGAGGCCAAGACGGGCGGATCACCTGAGGTTGGGAGTTCAAGATCAGCCTGACCAACATGGTGAAACCCCATCTTTTTAAAAAAAAAAAGAAAGAGAAAAAAAGTAGATTTCCCCCCAGAAGAACTGATTCAGGTATGTGTAATAACCTGAATGTGTTTATAAAAGCATTTTCCTTTTAGTTTACTTCAGAATAGTGCTTTAATGATTAAGAATATTAAATAATACTTCAATATGTAAAGATTATGTGTCTGACTTATTTTATTTTAAATTCTCAATGTTGCCTGAGAAGTGCTCTCTCTCCCTCCTCTTGTATTTTTTGTCCAAAATACCTCTATCCTGGAGTTACTATTTGTGCCTGCCTGTCATCCTTTTCTCTGCCTATTCCTTACTATTACATAAATCACCAAGTGCTGCCTTCTGAACATTTTTTCTAATTTACTAATTTGAGGCTTTCTAGACATGACTTTTATATTTATTTTTTCTTTATTGTTTTTCAAGGCCCATCTTTTCTTCCACGTGACTACTGTGTTGGTTCAGGTCTTTATCATCTCTTGCACAGATGATTCTAATAGCCTCTTTTTACTTTTGTCAGTATACCTAGAGTTGATCAAATGGGCTGACTCAAGCCAAAATCTCAGAAATGAAGGTAAGGAAGCATGTCATTTAACATTTTTGATTAAAAAAAAACTTAACTGCCAAGAATGCCAAACATTCCTTGTATTATTCTTCCTGTTAGTAATCTTGGGAAAACAAATTATAATTGGAAAGTGCTTGTTTAGTGAATCGGACTTGAGAATAAAGGCAGTTCAATCATGTTTAAATATTATCATCATCTTGATAACACTTTTTTCCTCTCTGAATAATGCATTTGGCTACTCCTTTCACATTAACTTCTGGTTCTGCATTTGCAGAAACTGTGTCCCAATTGCCTTCATTAAACCTGGAGTTGTAGACCATGTCCTTGGTGGGCTGTTTCTATAGATGGCTGATATTACATGTTTCACACTCAGAGAATCATTTTATTTCAGGATCTCTTGATAAATATATGGATATATATCTCTGGATATATGTATGTGCCCATTCCTGACAGAATATATGTTTATATAATATGAATATAAAGAATAGTATGTTTATATAATAACAGCTAAGTATTTGGACTTAATGCTTTTCATATTTTTTTCCATCATGCATGCATTAGGAGCAACTAATATTTTTATTTCAAAAGTGTATTTGAAAGCTTATAGCTTTGGCATAGGAAACTAAAAAACTGTATTTCGTGTTAGCAATAATAGAAAATCTGATTTTTTACTTAGATCAGGTCTTTTATGGAACTACAGAAAGAAAACAAATCAGCATAATAAAAGACATGAGGGAAGATAATAGTAATTTGAAATAAAATATTAGAAAGAAATCTTACATATTCAACTGTGTTTTGTAATAGTCAAAGCAAAGAACACAGTAAAGGGGATAAGAACACAGTGGATACAGCCAAGGACAGAATAATAAATGGGTAAATGAGATGAAGAAAATTTCCTAGAAAGAAGGAAAGTACCAAGACTGTGGTACCAGGAACTTAACAGACTGGGTGTGGTGGCTCACGCCTATAATTCCAGCACTTTGGGAGGCTGAGGCAGGCAGATCACTTGAGGTCAGGAGTTCAAGACCAGTGTGGCCAACATGGTAAAACCTCATGTCTACAAAAAATACCAAGAAAAAAAAAAGCCAGGTGGGGTGGTACACATCTGTAATCCAGGTACTTTCAAGGCTGAAGCATGAGAATTGTTTGAACCTGGGAGGCGGAGGCTGCAGTGACCTGAGATGGTGCTACTACACTCTAGCCTGGGCAACAGATGAGACCGTTTCAGAAAAATGAAAAATAAAAGGACTTAATAATAGAAGTGGCTTCCATTCTACGCAAGTGTACAAAATATGAAAAGACTAGACATACAGAGGTACTTACCATAGCAAAAAGTTGCAAGTACTGGGGATCGACAAAATTATCACAGTGGTTGTATTATTATTATTATTATTATTATTTATTTATTTATTTATTTTGTTGTCAGTGTCTCACTTTGTTGCCAGGCTGGTTTCAAATCCCTGGCTTCACATCCTTAGCCTCCCAAAGTGCTGGGATTGCAAGTGTGAGCCACCACACCTGGCCTATTAAGAATTTTTTTTCCTACTGGGCGTGGTGGCTCACGCCTATAATTCCAACACTTTGGGAGGCCTAGGCAGGTGGATCACAAGATCAAGAGATCGAGACCATCCTGGTCGACATGGTGAAATCCTGTCTCTACTAAAAATACAAAAATGAGCCGGGCATGGTGGTGCATGCCTGTAGTCCCAGCTACTCGGGAGGCTGAGGCAGGAGAATTGCTTGAACCCGGGAGGTGGAGATTGCAGTGAGCCAAGATCGTGCCATTGCACTCCATCCTGGGTAGCAAGAGCAAAACTCTGTCCCAAAATAAAACAACAACAACAACAACTTTTTTTTCTTTTTGAGACAGAGTCTTGCTCAGTCCAGGTTGGAGTGCAGTGATGCCATCATAGTTCACTGTAGTCGCAGTTTCTTGGGCGCAGGCAGTCCTCCTGCCTCAGCCTCTTGAATAGCTGGGAATATAGGCACACACCACTACACCTAATAATTTTTTTATTTTTGTTTTTAGTAGAGATAAGATTTTACTTAACGAGATCTTATTATGTTGCACAGGCCGATCTCCAACTACTGAGCTCAAGCGATCCTCCTGCCTCACTTCCTAAAGTGCTGGGATTATAGGCATTAGCCGCCACACTGGGCCGTAGTAGTTATATTAAAATCAGTGGTTCAAGAGTATTGTTTTCTTATCTCTGTTTTCTAAAATTGAATGTGGTCGTTTTGTAATGTTTTCATTTAAAACAAAAAATATGAAATTCAAATTGTGTTAATAACCGCCATATGTGATAAGATTATTTTCTTCATTTTAATTGATACTTTTCCCCCCACTAAATCTTTCTTTTAATCCTTTTAAAGAAACAGAAACTGGGTGGGGCGGCTCAAGCATGTAATCCCAGCATTTTGGGAGGCCAAGGCTGGTGGATCATGAGGTCAGGAGATCAAGGCCATCTTGGCTAACACATAAAAGGCCATGTTTACTAAAAAGTCAAAAAATTAGCTGTGTGTGGTTGCATCTGCCTGTAATCCCAGCTACTTGGGAGGCTGAAGCAGGAGAATTGCTTGAACCTTGGAGGCAGAGGTTGCAGTGAGCTGAGATCGCGACACTGCACTGCAGTGAAACAGAGTGAGACTCTGTTTCAAAAAAGGAAAAAATAAACTGAAAAGGAATCACTGTGTAGTGTAGTATGATGCTTCTCATTTAGGCTTATGATTTTACTCACTTAGGTGTGTCTCATCTCTTCTTAGTTGAAGTACTCACTTCATTAACCTGATGATTGATATTTTTATACTTTATTTGAGCCTAGTGGTTTTTTTTTTTCTTTTTTTAAGAGATTGGGTTTCTCCATGTTGGCCAGGCTGGTCTCTGAACTCCTGACCTCAGGTGATCCGCCCACCTTGGCCTTCCAAAGTGCTGGGATTACAGGCGAGAGCCACCGCGCCCGGCCTAGCCTAGTGTTTCTAGAGAAAATCACACCATGTAAAATTTCATATCATTCATTGATTGATAACAGTTGTAACTAACATTTAAATTACTTTGCAACGTTAATATACTTCTCTAGGAAACTTTTTGCTATGACTGTTTAATATATATATTTTTGACTTCTCATACTCTTCCTTCGCTTTCCCTATACTCAACTTATTAGATGCCTTTCCCAGGGTGGGGGGCAATCTTGTCATTTTAGTTTCCTCACCTTCCTTTTTTCACCATCTCTTATGTTTTCATTAATCATGCTCTTAGTATCTCTTGAAAACAACCCCGTCCCCACAAAAAACTCCAAATTTATTTTAACTCATTTCCTGTTTGTGTGCCTACCCCTCAAACCATTCTACCAGCACACACTCCTTAAAGATCATTTGTTTGTTTTTGTGATACATCTGTGTATTTCTTAAGTTTTCCTTGGACTTCTTGTGCTTCCTAGTTGAGATAATTCTTGCTTTTCACCAATTCCCTACACAGTCTTAGCCATTATATTTCAAAATACAACATCTTACCATTCTTTCCATTCTTTCTTCTGGAAGTTTTTTTTTGTTGTTGTTGTTAGGCATATTTGGACTTGAATTCTGCCCTTAATGTTCTTTAAGCTTTTTTAATTTCCATTTTTAACGTCCCTCTTTTATATCTGGATAATTTCTTTAGATTTCTGTTGTTGTTTACTAATCATCTCTTTAGCTCTGTTTAATTTATTCTTTCATTAGACTGAGGGAAGAATTTTAGTGAACATGTTCTTTTAAACTTTATGAATTCTTTGAAGTCCCTTTTAAAATGAACCTGGTTTGGTTTTCTCTTTCTTTTTTAAAGAAGAACTGGTTTATTTTTTTTTAATTTTTATTTTTTTCTCAGTCTTCTCATTACACAAGAGAACTATGTAGTTTTTTCCCCACATCTGAAAATATTTTTATTTTGAAACAATCTCAAACTCATGGAAAAATAGCAAGTATAGCAGAGGGAACTTTATTTTTCTAAGCCATTTGGGAATAAGTTGCACACAGTATCGCATCAGTACTGAATACTTACATATTTCCTCTAAACAAGGACATTGTCCTACAGTATCACAGTATAACTATTAAGAACAGGAAAGAAAACACTGCTGTTACTATCATCTAGTCTTCAAAAGCCATTCAAGTTTTGACAGTTGTCGTAATGTTTTTGGAGATCACAGGCTAGTTATTTTGGTGTTATTTTTCATTACTAAATTCCGATTATGTTTTGGGAGGCAGGAATTTTAGAGAAATGATCTTTGCAGTGCATATTATCAACGACACATAATTCACGTTTTCTTTCCCCCCTTTACAATGAGTAATTTTTTTGTGGAATAAATTGTGACACTATGTATGTAACATCCCTATTCCTCATCAGATTTTCAGTTTATATCAGTATGTGTTTAAGGATTCCTATGGTCTATAATTTATTACTCAGGATTTATTGTGATGCTCAAAATTGTTCAGGTTAGCCAGTGGGAGCTCCTTTGAGCGGGCTTCTGTTATTTTGACATATCCCTGTTATTCTTTGAATGCTTCCTTACTTTCTGGCACTGCAAGTACGTTAATTTTCCATTGGTGACATAACAAATTATCAGAAATTTAGCAGCTTAAAACCACATACATTCATTAGCTTTTATTTATCATATTTTACCAGTAGAAGTTTGGGTTGGCTGGGTTCTCTGCTTAGTGTTTCCAAGGCTGAAATCCAGGTGCTCGCTGGGCTCTTTTCAGGAGGCTTGGGAAGAAACCCTTAGCTCTTAGAGGCTTTTTTAAAGACCTTGCACATGTCTTTACAGCTTCAAGACAGCAAAGATAAGTTTAATCCTTCTCACACTTAGAATCTGTCTGACTTCCCCTTCTGCTGCATCTTTCACTTTCTTTTCTGCCATATCTTTCACTGACTTTCTACCTTCCTCCTTTTTTTCTCCCCCGCCAGATAGAGTCATCCTCTGTTGCCCAAGTCCGGAGTGTAACGGCCCGATCTCAGCTCACTGCAACCTCTGCCTCCT